TTCAGAAAGAACACAAAATTCTGGTTCTAATCCATAGTTTTCGACTCGTCTGAAATATTTTCAAGTGGGTCAGATATAAACAAACATTTTGTGCGAAAACTTTCGATCCACCCGTTAGAATTTGAACCATTAGGTCAAAAGAAAAGAAAAAAACAGTTACGCATCCTTGCACTGATTCCAAATATCAATAAACTATTTGCAGTGAAAATCCCCAAATATGATCGTATTCATAGCCATTGTTGTGAAAAACATGGATTTTCTCAATAATGCTAAAGCATATAAAACTATGTAAATCGAACCATGGCAACCAAATTTTGCTTATTATATTTTTGCTTTTAATTTCTTGTCTATAACGTGACCAAAAACAAATGAGAACTTATATACTCGTAATCAGCATCGTGAATTCTATCCATTCATATACATATTTCAATGAAACCTAAGTTTTGCTCGACTTTTACATTAGCGACATCTTACTTTTATTGCTTGTCCATGTTTAATTGCTATAGATCCATCGGACAATGCTGGAATAGTAACACGCCATACACCCCATTGATCACGTGTAAATGGATATTGTTTTTCTTGCCAATTATCTATATAAATATATTCATCTTAAGAACAAAACAACAATATTGTTTTAAATACAAACTAAAATCTCCACGAATATACATAGCTTTTGCTCCCGGTGCCCATTCTTTAATATTTATTTCATTTGTTTGATGATTAACATGAATACCGAAATGTTTATAAGCCGATGTAAAATTATCGATACCTTGTTCTTCAATTTCTAGGTTTTTAAGAATTTTTTGAAATTCATAATAACTAAAAACAAGTAACACAGAAAAATAATGAATAATTTTTAATAGATTTATTTTACCGTCGTCGTATTTCATCTTGATATCCTTCAAGATGTGGATCAAGTTTAAGTAAATTATGTAATTCAGGTACTACAACATTTCCAGCTTCACCGGTTGTTGGTTGTAATATTCTATAATAAAATTATAATATCATGAAAAAATATTTTTATTTAAATTAACCTTTGTAAATTAATTACTCCAGAAAGCATTACTGTATAATAGAAATTGAAAATATGAGTTTTTTATTCACTTTTACGTTTTTATTTGATTAATATTAACTTTTTGGTACATGTCTTTGAATGAATGATGTGATAGAAGAAAAAAAACAGAACAGAAAAAGATTTATTGTTTACATTGGTTGGCATAGCTTGTTATTGAGGCAATTTCAAACGAGAGAGGTCGACTTATGCTGGCATTTCAATTTATTGTATTTTCTAAAATTAACAAAGAATGATCATACTATATGAAAGTCTAATTAAAGAACTCTGTCTTTCAATTAATTTTCTACTTCAATGAGTTTATTATTAGACTTTCAGTTTGAAAAAAAAATAAATAAATTTGACGTTTATTTTACACTATATTGAATTTGTGAATTTAATGATAGGCATATCCAGCAACATACAGATTCTCTTGTCGAAGCATTAGGTAATGCCCACCAAACTATGAGTACCCTGAAAAAAACAACATTGAATCTACACCAGTACATATCAACAATGTAAATCATACGCCTTAACCATTGCTGTAGCTTAGAATAACAGTACTTCCCATGTCGTACTTTTGGTTACACTACTAACCGGCAGTAGATTGCTGGTCTTCTGCCCGATTCGAATCACACGGTTTTGCAGCAATAAATGAATTTCAACCTGAAGTGTTGATCACACATAATAGTTATCGATCTTATAAATGCGCTGAAATTTTTCGACACGACGATGATTTCAGTTATTCATGTCAATATTAGGCTTAACAATTAACCAATATATAAATATCATTATGGTTTATTGCAGTGTAAAAGGTCTTAGAGAAAATCTTTCTATGGTAATATCATTGATTATAGTTTTATTATCACCAAAGAACTATTCTATCGATAATACTTCAACTTATGTTGCTACGAGCACAAACGTATTAATGCATAGAAGAAATAAAACAATATTCAGAAGTATGTCGGAGTTCGATCTAGTCAAAATAAATTGACTGTTAGCGAAAAACCTATATATTTGAAATCGGGCCGAGTATCGAAGTAGTGGTTCATGTTGGGCATTGATGCATGTACTAAATAATTTTGTTTTAGATCAATTGAAAAGCTCGTCTAATTGTATAATTGATTTAACTACACAAATAAAATTCTTAACCAATAAAACTAGATTTTTATCTCGTTAATCATAAATAACTATTCGATCATTTTATTCAAATAAAGATAAAGAACATACGACAACAAAAACAAAAAAAATCCTTAGAATAATGCAGAAGAATAAAGACCAAGTCACAAATATGCATCAAGATAAACAAAAAAAAAAATTTAATTTTCTCTAAATATTCTTTTTTTTTTTTTTTCTTTTCATTTGCAAAGTCGACATTTATACAATGTGCTTAAAGCACAAGAAAAACTCGTTTTTTGAAGAAAATATATGCAATTATAATCCAAAAAATACAACCCCATAAAGCCATAGCAAGATGTGCTGCATGTGTATTAACAACAACCCATTGAACAGGAAAATATGTTGCAAAAACAATATGTGCTATATAAATAAGAATTGAATTCGTTCCAGGATATTGAAATGGTGTTGCATTCCAATATTTTAATTTATCAATAAAAATATACATTATTGAAAATCCAAGAAATGCTACACCAGCTAAAAATCAAAAAAAGAAAAAACAATTGCATAAAATTTAAAAGAAAAAACAAAATATTCTTACCAGTAAAAAATGAAAATGATAATGTCCAAAGATTTTTATTCAATGGCATTGGTCCATCAATAAATGTACCTGAAGTAAGTCCAACTCCGATAGCTGTTGTAAAAACACCCCAAGCAAAAAGACGTATAAGTCGATCAAGATCTGATTGATACATAACTAAAGATTAAAAACAAATTCATGAATAAAATTTAGAAATAGAAAATATTTCAACCAAGTATTCGTCCAGCTTGAACGCCTAAATAAGCTAAAAATATCGTTGGAATAACTCCAAGTAAATTTTCGGGATCGAACGGTAATTTACAACCTAAATAAATAAATTCTATTTTTTTGAATATCATCGTTTTAAACATATTTTTACCATAAACAAGTTGACATGTTGGATATTGATAAAGATGTTTATTTGTAAATATAATTCGATCAATATAACCTGTTATACCACCAGTACAATTTTCGTATTTACCATTTTCATGTAAACCACCTAGGAGATTAAAAAGAAAAAAGAAAAGTTTTCACAGCATTGGTCATATCAGATCAAAAGAACAAAACATTTTAATCTCTGCTACAACTGATGAGGGCAGTTCTCCTCTCAACTAATCAATCACTTTTGAGTTGAGACTATGTGTATCATATAGATTCTAGTGAGCTAGGAGCATCCTGAGAAGAGTTCGGACTCTTCACTTATTATTGCCAAGATATTGCATTTCTATAGTATTTTTTAATTCTATATCGTGATCCCTTTTAGGAACATCAGGAAAATTCATTTTCGAATTTCTATTTACCAGGAAACTTTTTCAACTGTTGCCTATAAGCTATCGAATATTTAACATGTCTATTTTCTTTACCGCAGGTTTTTGAAAAATTCGGATTTTGATCTGAAACCATATGCAGATAGAGAACTCAACTAGGTTAACTTCCACAAAAAAATTCAGAAGTTTTGAATGAAGTTTGTTGGAGATATGAGTCTTACGAGATATACGCCCTTTTCTATGAATCATGTGTGTAACATGGATTTTTTGAAAGCTTCATATCTCGATAAGATTAAGTTCAAAACTTCTGACTTTATTATGAAAACTAGTCTCATTGAAATCTCTATATGTGAAAAGTTTCAGCTCAAAATACGAGATCAAACTTTTCCATGCTTTCTATTAGAGCATGATGTAATATCTAAAGGCAAAAAATCATTGAAATCGAAAGAGAGCAGCTGAAGAGATTCCCTCGTAAGTCAAAATTCGGAAAAGAGTTTCATGATCTTTTTGATAGAAGAATACAGCATTGACGAAAAAAATACTGTAAAAATGCAATATCTCGACAGCAATAAGTGTAAAGCACTAACTCTTCTCAAAGAATTCATAATTCAAAAGTTATTAACTAATTAGTTGAGAGACTTCGCTCATTAGTGACCATTTTGTTCAACATTTATTCACAGAATGCTGTGTGCAAACCTCAGTATCTCCAACCATAGAATAATCATGGATAAGTGACTAACGGCTCCATTTTTCAGATCATCCGCTCGATAGGATGCTGACAACTTTACGACACACACATCTGTTCTTCTAGTTAATTAGTACGTATGAGAAACGCAAAGATTCTGCGTTAGACTGACTTTCTGTCCAATGCTACAGCTAATGCCAGTTATAGAGAAAATATCGAGCTATGGAATCTACAACTAGGCAACACTTCATATCATAAGTTATTCGAATGATGGGGATATTTTTCCTCATTTATTTTGTTAGTTAACTTATTCCTGTGTTGATCAGTGTGCGTTTGATGCAGAACTTCTGCTATGTAAATATTTAGAAGTTTTGTCGAATTCTTGATAGATAAATTTGAATGACTATGAATTTTCACGTTACATTCTTCAACAATCATATTTAGTACAATATACATGAAAATAAATATTTACCAGGACCCAAATAACCAGCTGGACAATCTTCAAATGGAACTAAATAAACAACAAGTACCCAAATAGTAGTTAAACCAATAATTAACAACCATTGAAGAGGAAAATTTGAAATATCTCGAAAAACAGCTGTTACACGTTTTGTTCTTCCACTTTTAACTGTTGTTGTTGTTATTGTTGATGTATGTTTTATATTATTATTAAAACTTGCTGTTAAGGAATATTGTCTTGATCGTGTACAAAGAACTTCAATTATACCAATAACACCATAAACTATAGCAAAACGTTGTAAAACACCAAGTATTCGTACATTATTTAAATCAACTTTAAAACGTGTATTAAGAATAAAACCAATAATCTAAATATATCAATAGAAAATATTTTATATGTCGTTTTTTTGTTATTTAAAATAAACATACAAATAATTTTAAAGTACGCATTGCAACTTTAATGAGTAATGTTCGTTTTGATACACCTTTATCAAGAGCATTTTTTAATGAAAATATTAATGATGCTCCTAATATCCAAACAAATAATGGAAAAACAATATCTGCAAATGTTATTCCATGCCATGGTGAATGTTCAAATTGTGCATAACCACCACCACCATAATTAACAAATATCATTGCAATTAAAGCTATAATACAATAGAAAACAAATAATTATAATAATATATTATGTTATTAAATTACCAAAACCACGAAATGCATCAAGACTAAGTAAACGCTTTGATCTTGGTACAATAACATGTGATAATTTATGTATTGTTGGTAATTTTGAACCATTTGTATTACATTCTATTGTATTTATTGTATCAATTCCTGATTGACAAATTGTTGTTGCTGGTGGACATGTTTGTAAATCATATGAATGTGTACATTCTTGTTGTGGTGTATGATTAAAACAACGATTTTTTAAATTTATTAAATATTCACGTAATTTCATTCGTTGTGCAAATAAACAAAAAATAAATAATGATAATAATATAACAACACCAACAATTAATGGTGTATAAATATTATTTGCTGAACGACTTGTTGTTAAAAGACATTTAAGACCTGATTCTGAACTTGAATTTATTGATGGAGTATTTGATGTTTGAACATTAAGAGTATATTGACCATGTTCATAGAGCATAAGTGTTTCAAGACATGATGATGTATTACTTAATTCAATACGAATATGATAAGTATATTTCGTATTTAATGTAAGATTAAGTACTTGACTTGATGATAAATCTTGGGCAATTATTTCATATGGACAATCAAGACATTCAATAACTTGAACATATACTGTTAAATTGCCCGAAATCTATATTAGAGAATTTCTATAGTAATTATTTTATACTCAACACAATAAGCAAGTTAAATATCTGTAGAATTTTACAATATATCAATTGTGATTGTTAGTGAAAATAATTACCGTACAAATAAAAGAGACTAATTATCATGATTAGAACTGTGATGAACTAAGATTATGAGAAGAAAAAAAGTTGTCTCAATCGGAACTAAAGATTATTGCTAAATATTCTATGGTTTTAAGCAAAATTATTTTATAAATCATCAATCAGAATATTTTTGAAGAGAGACGATCTAAAAAGCTGTTAGCGCAATCCCTTGCGGGATTAAAAATGTGAAACACGATGAACCTATTGTTACTAATTAAATGGAAATTCTTTTGTTTCATTTCCTTACGACACATTTGTGGCTAACCGTATATCTGATGCTTTACAACTACAGTATCTCTGTCACGGTCTGTGATGGGTACCCAGGATTTTCTGTCACGGTGTGTGATGGGTACCCAGGATTCTCTGTCACAGTGTGTGATGGGTACCCG